ATCTAATGGTTCTTTCCTATTTTCTATATATTTGCAGACATTTTATTATATATATATATATATATATATATTTGATCACTGTTTTTTTTTTTTAATTAAAAACAAAATACTAAAGACCTTTGGATTACTAACCTAACGGTTTCTTTCCTATTTTCTATATATTTGAACACATTTTATTATATATATATATATATATATATATATATATTGATCACTGTTTTTTTTTTTAAATTAAAAACAAAAATATACAAAATACTAAAGATATTTTGGATTACTAACCTAACGGTTGTTTCCTATTTTCTATATTTTTGCACATTTTATAATTCATATATATATATATATATATATATATATATATATATATATATATATATATATATATATATATATATATATATATATATATATATATATGGTGGAGGCACCTCGACGTGGTGTAACGGTTAGCAAGCTTGTCTCGTTAGATCAATTACGTCTGAAAAGTGAGTTAGTTCCTGACTAGGTGCTCCATACTTTCGGCCTTGTTCCACATCTAAGCTACGCTTAGAAAATAACTATACCTGTGTACGTGTGAAAGATAGTAAGGGTGTGTGTCAGTGTGCGTGTGAGAGAGAAAGCGAGAGGGAGGGAGAGAGAGAGAGAGCGAGAAATGTACATGAGATTATGATGAAAGAAAAGCGTGCGTTTTATGCTTACCACAGAATTCTTACTTATAGTTTTCATCCGGGTTTTTTTTTTTCTAATTAAATTACCGACAAAGATAAAAATGAAGAGTTTTATATGAATAATAAGTTTCTCGAAAAGCGGCCACCAAATCAGTAGGTCTGAACGTCATTAATCCTTCTTAATCGGCTTACGAAGAGATAAGAGTAAGCTAATTAGAACATTACGGCCTCTCGACAAACGACGCCTCTCACTCTCTACGTTTTGTTTTGTTTTGTTTTTCTTCGTTTTCTCTGTTCCATTTTGTTGTTCTCTTGTTTTCTCTTGTTTTTTTTTTATGCGTTCTAGAAAGAGCGATTGTATAGAGCGTACATAAAAATAGCGTTTTTTTTTATTTCTTTTTTATTTCCAATATAAATGCGAAATCCTGGTTTATATATCGCAAAGGAAACAAAGACTACAATTGAGTTTAATCTAAAACCTACTTTGTCTATCCTGTTTATGTAACAACTGCTTATATAACTCACAACTTAGAATTAATGAACAAATCCATCAACACTTTCGCTCACTAATATAATGTGACAGGCGGCCATAAAAATACATAAATTCTTATCCTATAGGAATGCACAACAAACATATATTTTTATTTCTGACCTGGCTTCCCGACTACAGTCACTTTCTCAAAGACTTGATATAACTTCCCTCTGTCTTTTCTACATATATTTCTATGACAACTGTTCTGACGAGCTCTTTTCACTGGTGCCCCGACTGAATGATTTAAGCGTGCTACTAGGTTGGCATCTCGGTCCCACCCTTTTACTGTCGAAACAGTTAAATATAACCGCTTTTTCTATTCCAACAGCTTCTTCTCTAGCTCTTCCCGACAGCGGAACTCCCTTCCTGTTATTTGCTTCCCTGATAGCTATAATCTTCAAATATTCAAATGTAATGTCAATCGACATTTTATGATGCCTTGAACTTGATCCTCGTCCCTTTCTTTATCCTTTCCTCAAACACCAGTCTTTACTCTTGCTATCATTGTCTCTAACCCCTCGCGTGCTAGCGGCACTCCCACCTTGTTTGGGGAGAAATGCTTAAGTTTTTGAGAAAAAGAAAAAAAATCATTACACTGTCGGTGAGATTCTATAAATAATCAAATAATTGATCACCCTATACAAGGCCCAAGAGTCATACAAGGTAGAGCGTTACTGAATGAGATTGTTTTATGAAGATAAGAGGAGCTAAGAAGTTCACATTAAGAAGATATAGAAAAGATAGCGGTTGACCCTAGACATAAAAAGGTTCAGAATGTAGCGATCGAGAGGATGCCCCACAAAGTTCTTAAGAAGCTGTCAGAATGGAACTTCCTTCTTATGAATAGAATACAAAACGAATAGGAATGATTTGTTCCAATATATCTGGCATAGCCGTTCTTAGTTGTGAAGGTCTGAATTGGTTAAACGAATGAATTTAGCTAGTCAGTACATTTACAATCGTAATATTTAGAGTAGCGAGAAGCATGCAATGTTTCGTGTGTGGGAGACAAGTTATACATTGGAAAATATTCAATCTCCCACAAGTCTGCATAGACGCTTTTGAATCTTATCGAGTTACAGCTCCATTTTTGGTCAGTTGATTTCCTTTTAATGATAGATCAGTCAAAATAGACAATATTCTTTTTTTTTTTAAATTTAGGCCTCAAACGGTATTATTAAAATAAAGGGCTTATGTTGAGTTCGGCCATTTTCATTAGTTTATATATATATATATATATATATATATATATATATATATATATATATATATATATATATATAGTTGTTACGAAGAACTTGGTAAACCAATGAGTAATTCCAAGGAGGATGAAATCCTGAAAGCTCAATGTGAATACAGAGCTAATATTTAATGAAAAACAGAACACTTTAAGGTACCATTACAATAATTTATTTCACCAAAATCGTTTTTAAAGGACTCCGGCTCATCAGGCAACAATTCCAACAACGAAATGAAAGGAAAAATGGGATAAGAAATTGATGGGTAGTGTAAGTTTTGTAATTTAACAGGGAGGGTGATAGTTGTAGTTAACGAGACATGGTAGAGTATAGGGAGGGGTTAATTTCATATTTCTCTTAAGCATGCTTTATATTGGGGTAGGAGGAGTGACCGAACCGTGACCTATTTAGATGGTTAACTTAACGGAAATGATATATAGGAATGGGAGGGCAGTGGGGGGGAAGGAAATTTCGTTGTTGGAATTGTTACCTGATGATCCGGAGTCTTTTAAAAAGGATTTTGGTGAAATAAATTATTGTAATGGTACCTTGAAGTGGTCTATATATATCACAAATGCTGTACTCACGATCTTTTAGAATGATATCGTCAAAATTACTTCCACACCAAATTTTGATGCCACACGTTTTCAGGACGATGGCGATCCAGGTTCTCCAAAGATTCTTTTCTTCATTGTCTGTGAATTGACATGACTTCTTGTAAATGCTTCTCGATTATATTTTCAATCTGACAATATATTGATACATTCCTCAACGAGAACCGGTTGTGCTTGCAAGCGAGTTATGACAGGGATCGCCTCCATACGGAAAAAAATCTTTCCTTTATCGAACTCTGTTATCAAATTCTCCTTCAAGATATCGTCAATTGCAATGACTTCAAGAAATGAAATAATTTAGATAATTAGATGAAAGAAATTTAAATCTTTCGTTTATGTAGCGTGTCCCTTCAGGACGTAGGCGATCATGGTCCTCCACATCTGTCCAGTGTAGCTCTTAATATATTTTGTTTTTGTTTTTTTGTTATTTCTCTCAAACCCTGTTCTACCTCAATTTACTCTAGTCCATCAAGTATTTTACGCGCCGGTATCCACTGTTCCCCTTTCCCGCAACCGGTCCTGTGAGTATCAGATTTTCCAAGCCCTTCTTCCTCATTACGTGCTCCAGAAATTTCAGTTACTACTCATTAAGTTTTCTTTTTTGTTCCCACTTTCTCACCGTTACTCACGTGTTCGGTTCATGGTATCCTCAGCATCTTTCTGTAGAACTACATTTCTGTTGCTTCAAGACACTTTTTCATCCTCGAAGAGATTGTCCAGCATTCGCTGTCATATAGCAGAACAGATATCACATAACAGTTCAGTAATCTTTGCTTCGTTTTTTTTCTGTCTCTTAATACTCTGCTTAGCTTTTGAAATGCCTCTTTAGCCATCCAACCACGTCAACGGATCCCAGTGTCGCACTTTACATCCTCTGTTAGAAAACTTCCCAGATATTTAAATTTTTGTACTTGTTTGATTTTAGTATTAGGTTGGTGCAAAAATAATAACGTAATAATGTCGTTTTTTGACGTTAAAAAATACGACAAAAAACGACATTGTTACGTCATTATTTTTGCACCAACCTAATATCTCTGATTTGTAATTTGCATTTTCGGCTCATCTTTTGATAAGCCATGAGAGCCATGCATTCTGTTTTTTTATTAGTTGTTTGTTTTTTGTAGTATCTATTTAGTTCTTACTTCTCTCTTTCCTTCGCTATCTTCTGTGGGTGTTTTTGTCGTTTTCTTTCGGTATCTGCTATCAACACTGTGTCATCTGCATATCTTTTGCCGTTAAGATTGTGGCCGCCAATAATGAATCCTGGTAAAACTTCTAATCCTCTCAAAATTGCCTCGCTGTATAGGTTGAATAAGTCCGGTGAGAAGACACATCCTTGTCTCACACAACTTTTTAATTTTTTTGCATCTGCTGAACTCATTTTCTATCCGCATGCAGGCGGTTTTCTACCATTATAGATTATTGGTTATTCTAATATCATTCACGGTTCTCTCAAGGCCGCTGATCTGCTCTGGCAGATACCTTTGCACGGCATTTTTTTTTTTTTTTTGTGGTGGGTGTTTGATGTCGTTCCTTCTCCTTAGGAAACGCTGCTACAGAATATGGTAATAAGCTATGGCAATAATTCTAATAGACCTAATGTTTTATATGTATAAAATGAGATCCCAAACAACCATCTTTAAGCAGTTATTATTAGTAGTATTAGTAGTAGTAGCAGTAGTACTAGTAGTACAGGTAAACAGGATTTAACACTATAGGTATGCATATTAATACCACATATTTTTTATAAAAATTGCTTTTATTAATGTTTCTTTTTTCTCAGATGTTGATGTTTATGTCTACAGTACATTTTAGAGAATAATTACTGATACAAGTTTTCACTAATTAACTCATAGCTAAGGGGAGAAGTGTATACAATGAACCCAACTGGAATTGGAACTCAGCTCTCCGATTAACAATTCCGAAACATTAGCCATTACAGCGCCCAAGTTTACAGCACCTGGTATTCCCAAACAGTTACCCATCTAGGTACTGACCAGGCTCAACGTTGCTTAACTGCGGTGATCGTACAGAAACATTATATGGCCGTAATATACATTGTATAAGGTTTATTGACTGACTGATTCGTTTTTTTTTTCCGGCTTATTCACCCCTTGTAGGTTATTTCAAGACAGAAAATAATTTTTAGATTGTAAGAATTTTTTTAGACAGTAATAGTTTACTGATACAAGACTTAGCAATTAACCCATAGCTAGGGGATAAGAGGTGGATTCATACATTTCCCAGCATGATACGCGCGTAAGTGAATATACGGAACACAACTGGAATTGGTACTCGGCTCTCCGATTATCAATTCCGAGCCATTATCCATTATACCACCGCACATCCAAGCTCATAGAACCTGGTATTTCCATGTTTTCACCCACCTAGGTGCTCGTAAAGCTCGAGGTTGCTTAACTTCCCTGGTAAAACGGGAACCGGTGATTCAATATATTAGGGCCGTAAGCAAATCCTAATAGGGAATAAAAAAAAATCTAGGGATAATTTAAAGTAGGTTGCAGGGTAAGTATAAGTTTTATGTAAATATTATTCTATTTTAGTGAAGAGACTTGAGTATTCACCGATTTTACTATCCGTGATGCGATAGACCAGTTGCCATCCAAGGCTATAGAACTCGGCCTGCTCTGCTATTTACCCATAGCCGGTGAGTGAAAAAGAGGGTTCATAACTTTCCCAAGGGTGTTAGCACGTAAGTGAATGTAATGGATTTGCAGAAAGAAATGCCAACCTACTTCGGGAAAAAATCTGCCTCGTCAGTCATGTATCCAGAGGTACATGATCACCTAACGTGTATCACGCATGGTACACAACTTCAGACCCACTTTTTACAAGTGCTCATATTTCATTTTTTTTTTTTTTTGCTGTTATCATTGCATGTTTTACCAGAGTTCACATTGTATCTTTTGTTGTTATCGCTTTTCTCTGGCACTCCTTATTACTGGTTCCCATTTTGTATTCATTTCTATGCTTGGTCGGCTCAGGAGATTTTTGTGGTCTAGCATATGTCCGGCTAATATAAATAATGTACATAATACCTCATCCCAGAAATACAGACAGATACTGTCAGCTTCTTATATTTGGTTTATTTATTTATTCATCAAAGTGTATTTGCTGACTCTTTTAACTTCCTTACCAGTTCTATTCAGATATAAAATGACAACTGCATTTTATGGATTTGTTGGGCAAATGTCCTTCAATTTCAATTGCTGAAATATGACGGGAATTTGAAGTTTTCCCGTTATATATCTCCTTCGTAAATAGACGCTACTGTCAGCTTCTTATTTTCATTATTCGGACTATTGTCCTCATCTTTGTCGCCATATTTATTACAACGTTTCGGCCATTTAGTATCTGTCTATATTTCTGAGATGAGGTACTATGTACACTATTTATATTATTCGGACTATTGTCCTCATCCTTGTCGCCAATTTATTACAACGTTCCGGCCCTTCAGTATCTGTCTGTATTTCTGAGATGAGGTATTATCTACACTATTTACATTATTCGGACTATTGTCCTCATCTTTGTCACCATATTTACTACAACGTTTCGGCTTCAGGTGGTTGGAATGTCGAACTTAACCCTTTATTTCGCACACTGGGGTAGACTGTTTTAGTTCCACGTGCATGTTTAATGGATGTCCGTTATCAATTATCTCCTGTTAATTTCCCTCCGAAAGTTTTCCACTGCCTTATCCGGGTATTGAACTCACACTCTTTGGGTCCTGTCACTGGATCTAACCAACGCCTTTATTATTTATCATCCACTGTGCCATGTGTTCTTGTATGAATTTCTTAGTATTATAAACCTAATGTCTTCAGCAACCATTTTTACCGGTGCTCATATTACATTTTTTTTTCTGTTATCATTTCATTTTTTATCAGATCTCACATTGCAACTTTTTTTTGTTATTATTGCTTTTCTCTGGTACTCCTTATTACTGGTTCCCATTTTGTATTCATTTCTATGCTTGGTCGGCTCAGGAGATTTTTGTGGCCTAGCATATGTCCGAATAATGTAAATAATGTACATAATACCTCATCTCAGAAATATAGACAGATACTGTCAGCTTCTTATATTCGGCTTATTTATTGACTCATCAATGTGTATGTGTTGACACTTTTAACTTCCTTACTTCCTAGGGCTGTTATTTACCTATTCATTTAACTTCATTCAACACGGTTTTGTATGATGTCCTTCGCCCCTACACGACATTAACAATGCCAGATTTCTCTCCTGCGTTAAATAAAGTATTCTGTTCAAAATAATCTGATGATTACTAGATTTGAGATACACCTGCGGAAAGTTAAAATGTCCATCAGCCGCATTGTTATATAAGTAAGAAAGATGAGGATCTTAGTCCGAAAAGTGATGTTAATAATTACTTGTGTATTTTTAACGGTAGTTTTCCTGGTGTTACTGAAGAATGGAAAAAGTAATCGGCTCCTCTAACTTGTGAGCGATTTGGGAAAAGGTTTTTGTTCGATTCGACTGACTTTGGCAAAACTTTTGATTATTGGGGCACTCAACGCATTCAAAAAATTTCTTCTGCTTCTTTTTCTTTTTCTTCTTCTTCTTCTTCTTCTTCTTCTTCTACTACTACTACTACATTCTTGATTTTTTTCTTTTTCATTTCCTCAGTTCTTTCTTCTTCATATTCCCCCAGTTTCTTTTTCTTCCTCTTCTTCTTGTTCTTCTTGTTCTTCTTCTTCTCTTCTTCTTCTTCTTCTTCTTCTTCTTCTTCTTCTTCTTCTTCTACTATTACTACTACATTTTTGATTTATTTTCTCTTTCATTTCTTCGGTTTCTTTCTTCTTCATATTCCCCAAGTTTCTTCTTCTTCCTCTTCCTCTTCTTCTTCTCCTTTTTCTTCTTCTTCTTCTTCTTCTTCTTCTTCTTCTTCTTCTTCTTCTTCTACTACATTCTTGATTTTTTTTCTCTTTCATTTCTTCGGTTTCTTTCTTCTTCATATTCCCCAAGTTTCTTCTTCCTCTTACTCTTCTTCTCCTTGTTCTTGTTCGTGTTCTTCTTCTTCTTCTTCTTCTTCTTCTTCTTCTTCTTCTTCTGCTACTACTACTACTATTACTACTACATTCTTGATTTTTTTCTCTTTCATTTCCTCGGTTTCTTTCTTCTTCATATTCCCCCAGTTTCTTTTTCTTCTTCTTCTTCTTCTTCTTCTTCTTCTTCTTCTTCTTCTTCTTCTACTACTACTACTACTACTACTACTACTACTACATTTTTTATTTCTTTTCTCTTTCATTTCCTCGGTTTCTTTCTTCTTCATATTCCCCCAATTTCTTCTTCTTCTTCTGCATACTTGATTTCTTTCTTGTCTTCAATTTTCTTTGTTTCTTTTTTTCATATTTCTCAATTTTCTTCTTCATCTTCATCTCCTTCTTCTTCTTCTTCATTATCTTCTTTTACTTCTTCTAAATTCTTGATTTTCTTCTCTTCCATCTCCTCGTTTTCTTTCTCCTTCATATTCCCCAATCTTCTTCTTTTTTTTTTCCTTCGTCTACTTCTTCTTCTTCGTCTTCCGTTTTCTTGATTCTTTTTCTTCTTCGTGCTATTATTATTGTTATTATTATTCCCTCTCCTCTTCCAAAACATCTTCCTAATATTCTTCGTCATTATTTTCTTTTTATCCACCTCAGTTTTCTCCTTCTTCTCAATCCTCCGCCAACCTTTTTCGAACTTTAATACTATCTTCCACCTATCTTTCTTTTTCCTTCCTTTTTTTTTTTGATTTCCTTCACCGCCTCTTTTCATTCTTTTTAATTCTTCCATTATATCCTACAAAATTTCTTCTTTGTTACAAAACTTTTTTCTTTTCTCTTTTTAAGCTTTCCACCCTCAGCCATGTCCAATTTTTTCTCGTTTTCACAAGCAACCTTCATTTTCTTGCTCATTCAATTACAAGGACGATCGACAACTTCAAAGTACCCGGGGGTTACCTTCCATTAAAAGGAAAAAAAAGAACTCTAACCATTTCTTTATGTGAGCTGTCACAATTTGCCATTTTACAGACTACTTTTATCTTTAACTTTTTTTTTCAATGTACAACCCAATGCAGGACACAATAATGTTCAACAACACGCGTTCTTCAAGGTGAAAACTTTTCTTTCCACCAGAAGTAATTTTCCTCCTACGAACGCTGAATCAGATTGCTAAGAAAGTTCTTTGTTCGGGAGGAATGCCTTCGTCGGATGTCGAGTTAAACTCAAATAAACTTCAATACTCTGTTCCGTTACCCAAGCTTCTAAGTCATTGCCAATCACTCATTCACTTATTCAATCAATCATTCAATCAGTCTGTCGTTCTTTTTTCTATCAATTTAATTTATGTCATTCTCTGTTCGTCTGTATTTTTCTTTGCCTGTCGATACGCATGCGTGATCACGTGCATGCACGTATGGCTGTCATGCTAGTGTCAATTCATCAATTTACTTAACACCCGATCCAGCGATTCATCTAAATGGCTAGCTGGCATCGACTGTTGACAAAATGTCTTCCAATTATTTACTTCTTTCTTTTCCTTCATTGTTTCTTTAATTGTAATCTTCCCTTTACTTCCATGTTTTCTTCTTTATTTTATTGCATTTTTCTTTCTTTTTGCTTTTCTTTCCTATCATTTCATCCTTCTATTTATTTTTCGATAGATTTTATACTTTCTTGACTTCATTTCTGTTTTGTTTGTGTCGTCTGCTGTTTAGTTCTCTACGTCTTAATGTTTTTTCTTTCACTTCATTTGTTCTTTCGTTTTATATCTCCTCTTCTTTTTTTTTCATTCTTTTTTATATCTCTTCTTTTATAGCTTTTCTTTCTTACTTTGCTTCTTACGTTAAGTCCTTTTCTTTTTGGCTTCTTCCTTTATCTCTTTCCTTCTTTTCTCCCCCTCTTTTATTCAGCTGCATTTTTTTCTGCATTCTACCTTTCATTTCCAACTACTTTACTATTTTCTCTTCTCCTTCTTTTAATACTTCCCGCTTTTTTTTCTTTAAATTGTTTCTT